ACACAAGTAAAAGAAAATAATTGGGAACATTTCTCTCTGTGTGTACTCATGCGTTTGCCATCTACCCTTCGGGGTGGAGGTAGGTTCTCTCAAAGGCCTGTAGCTTGCCAAACAGCCTTGGCTGACTGACCTTCTCAGAATTGGGACTGCAAGCATGTGCCACCATGCCCGTCTTTTTATGTATGTTCATGTACTTTCCTGACAATCAGCTCCCCAGCCTCTACAATGTCTTAGTGACTTTTTTTTGGTCTACAGTGCATTTTCCATGGTTTTGCAGGATAGAAGGCTATCAGCATTACTCCTAGGTCTCTCTCACAAATATATACCAAGGGAGGCACAATCAGGTCTACTTTGAATTAAAAGTTATGAGCATCACACTTTAAGATGAAGAACAAACTGTTTGGGAGTTTATTCTGGTTTTCTAAACCAGGAAGTTTCAGAAACTAAAATTCTGTTTCACTAGAATTCTGAATTACTTTAATGGTTTAAGAAGTTGGAGGCAATGACATTTGCAGGTTTTACTACAATTGAAAATAAAATAGGTGCTCGCTTCGGCAGCACATATACTAAAATTGGAATGATACAGAGAAGATTAGCATGGCCCCTGCGCAAGGACGGCACGCAAATTCGTGAAGCGTTCCATATTTTTAGCACAGGCTCTAAGAGCAACAATCAATAAATGGGACCTCATGAAACTGAACAGCTTCTGTAAAGCAAAGGACACCATCATCAAAACAAAACGCCTGCCTACAGATTGGGAAAGAATCTTCACTAACCCTTTATCTGACAGAGGACTAATATCGAGTATATACAAAGAACTAAAGAAGCTGAAAAGCAGCAAACCAAGTAATCCAATTAAAAAATGGGGAACAGAGCTAAACAGAATTCTCAACAGAGGAATATCGAATGGCAGAGAAACACTTAAAGAAATGCTCATCCTCATTAGCCATCAGGGAAATGCAAATCAAAACGACCCTGAGATATCACCTTACACCCATCAGAATGGCCAAGATGAAAAACTCAAGGGACAACACATGCTGGAGAGGTTGTGGAGAAAGGGGAACCCTCCTCCACTGCTGGTGGGAATGTAAACTGGTACAACCACTCTGGAAATCTATCTGGCGCTTTCTAAGACAATTAGGAATAGTGCTTCCTCAAGACCCAGCTATACCACTGCTAGGTATATACCCAAAGTTTGCTCAAGTACACAAAAGGGATATTTGCTCAACCATGTTTATAGCAGCTTTATTTGTAATAGCCAGAACCTGGAAACAACCCAGATGTCCATCAATGGAGGAATGGGTACAGAAATTGTGGTATTTTTACACAATGGAATACTACTCAGCAATCAAAAAGGAGGAAATCATGAAATTTGCAGGCAAATGGTGGAATCTAGAAAAGATCATCTTGAGTGAAATATCCCAGAAGGAGAAAGACAAACACGGTATATACTCACTTATATAGACCTATAAGATATAATAAACATAATGAAATCTATACACCTAAAAAAGATAATCAAGAGAGCGGACATGGGGTAAGATTATCAATCCTCGTTTTGAAAGACAGATGGGATACGCATTGAACATTGACAGGAGTCTACTGAGCGCATTGGAGAGACTCTAACTAGCGGTGTTTTCAAAGCAAAGACTCGTGACCAAACCTTTGGCAGGGTGCAGGGAATCACAAGAAAGAAGGGGAGTTAGACTGATGAGGAAAGGATAGGAGCTCCACAAGGACCAAAGATATCTGGGCACAGGGTCTTTTCTGAGACTGACATGCAACCAAGGACCATGTATGAATGTAACCTAGAACCTCTGCTCAGATGTAGCCTGTGGTAGCTCAGTAACCAGTTGGTTTCCCATAGTGAGGGGAACAAGGACTATTTCTAACAGGAACTCAATGGCTGGCTCTTTGGCCTCCCTACCCCCCAAGGGAGGAGCAGTCCTGTCAGGCCACAGAGGAGAGCTTTGCAGCCAGTCCTGAGGATACCTGATAAAACAGGATCAGATGAATGGGGAGGAGGTCCCCCCTATCAGTGGACTTGGCAAGGGGCATGGTGGAGAGGAGGGAGGGAGGGAGGGAGGGAGGGACTAGGAGGGAATGAGGGATCGGGACACGGCTGGGGTACATAGTTAATAAAATGTAACTGATAAGAAAAAAAAAAGAAAGAAAATAAAATAGATCACTCCAGTACGAACACGTTTCTGGGAGTGGGCCCTACTCAGGGGTGCTGGCCACAGGTAGCACTTTTCTTGTTACACCTGAGGATCAGCTCCAATACAATCATCAGGCTTGATGAAAGCCTGGGAAAGGCTCCAAAGTGGGTGTGACTTACCTCACAAAATTAAGAGTTCTAACAACAGAGAAATAGACAATTTGTGCAGGCTACATTTTTGACACAAGCTCTGATCATCTAGGAAAAGGGAATTTCCACTGAGAAGATACCTTCGTCACACTGGCATTTTCTTGATTAATGACTGATGTGGAAGGGCACAGCCCACTGTGGGTGATGCCACCCCTAGGTAGGTGGTCCTCAGTGGCATAAGAAAGCAAGCTGAGCAAGCCATAGAGGACAAGTCAGTAAGCAGCACTCCTCCACAATCTCTGCTTCAGCTCCTGGCTCCACGCTCCTCCTCCTCCTCCCTTTCATGACAGCCTATAAACTATAACATGAAATAAACCCTTTTCCTCCCCAAGTTGATGGTGGTCATGGTGTTTGTCATAGCAAGACAAAGCAAAGTAGCTTTATCATTTTAATTTGTGGCATAATGTATCACCTTATGAACCAAAGGAACTGGGCTATGCTTTTACAGTGAACATCTACCCACATACTTAATGACAATTTACTGGTAGCAATTTGAAGATGTTTGATTAAAAAAAAGTCACTGAACTAATATACTTTTATACCAACCAAACAACAAATAGACAAATTTCAATTATAACATCAAGAGAAATCTGTAATGACCAGATAAACAAAGAACATGACAGTTGTGCTAGACTTAGCTGACAAATTATTTAGAGAATTGCGTTCCTTACTATTCTGATAATTTTAAAGCAGCATACCTGACTGCCATCAAATCACAACATGCAGTTCTTCCTAGATACAACATATTTACTGGACATAAAATGTGTGTTGGTAGACACTTATCTTACCCTTGCTAGTATATAAGTATAAGAATGAAATGATAGGTGTTTCTTCCATCTCCTGTGCTGGTGACATATGTAAAACTTATTTTACTGGGTAGCAAACTGAATATAAGACATGAAGATCTACAGAGCAGAAGTCGTATTGTCTTTGGTTCTTATTCTGACAAAAAACAAAGCAGGTGTACTTTTTAAGCTTCTCTAGGGTAAAGTTAATTTTTTCCAATTTTGTATCTGTTTTGTTATGCTGGTACACACAACACAGTCATGAAACCACAGGCATTTTACAATGTCTAAAGGATGCAATATATTAAAAATTTAGTTTCCAAAAATTATGAAACAACAAATGGGTACAGGTATGGATTAAGAAGGATAAACAGAGAGATATAATAGTAAAAATTCCAAAGGTAATTGTCCAGCTTACTTTTTTTTTTTTTTTAAGATTTATTTATTTTATGAATGAGTGCTTTATCTGCATGTACAGCGGCATGCCAGAAGAGGGCATCAGTTCACATTATAGATGGTTGTGAGCCACCATGTGGTTGCTGGAAATTGAACTCAGAACCTCTGGAAGAGCAGACATTACTTTTAACCACTGAGCCATCTCTCCAGCCCCCAGCTTACATCTTGATAGCAAGTAGTTAAGTATTTTACTGTGTTTGTAGGCACTTTTCATTTTAGCGAGACACAGGCCTCCGCTCATTGGTTGGCGCAAACCTCTGCATACTGGACATAAACTGTAATGAGGCTATTCAGACCAGCAAAAAATAAGCTATCTTAAAAAGACCAAGAAGCCAGACATTCTTATAAACCTTAAAAAAATTAAAAAAATAAAAATGAGTGCTGAAAGTAAATTCTGACATGCCATATCATATCCCCAGCCATAACCAACTGCTGGGCATTTCTCACTCCTTCTCTTGGATTATTAATGGCATCTCCATTCAGACACACATCCTCTGAACTTTAGCTCAAAGGCTGTTTCCTACACCCCTTAATTATCCTCCACAGTCAACTCTGATTCATCAGACCTCTACTACCCTCAAAATTCATATTTGCACCTGTTAACTTTCCCTGCAGCAGAAAAGAGATCATGACACAGAAGCAGCTCTCCAGACAGAGGTATGAAGAAGAGTTCCTAATCAGCCCTGCTTAGACTATTACACAATGGCCAAACAACACTAGCAGCAGACAGGCTGTGTCACCAAGACATTACAGGACTCCACAGTGAACTGACTTTGAACCCAGCTACAAAGTTATTCACATCTGCCAAGGGAAGGTTCTGAATACCCACCCATCATGTAAACAACGTTTTAAACAAAAGGAAAGCAAAACAACAGGGTGACTCACTCAACACTCCCAGTTCTATCCTGAAAGAGAGGCTATGAAATGATCTGGTGATTAGCCTAGGGATTTCCATAGTTTCATTTTCAGAACCTCTGCATAGTGTGAAAAGTATCAGCCAGGCTCTAATTAGATCCCAGCACCCGGACCTGCTGAATTCCTGACAGAAAAGCTTGCCATTCTAAGTGTTCTATGGGTTGGTTTTACAGGGTTACTTATGGTTATTGAAAATCATCCAGGTTGGTATGATAACTTGGTGGGTAGAGGTGCTTAGAGCCAAGCCTGAGAACTTGAGTTCCATCCCCAGAACCCACTCCCACAGCTGTCCCCTGACGTCTATCTGTGCACTGTTGTACGCATATACAAAGAATAAATAAACACAATGAGAACTAAAGACATAAATTGGGAGAAAAACATCCTGTAATAGTGGTAAAGAAAGTAATGACTTCAACTCACTTCATTATTTCTATTAGGTAAAAAAATAATAAATTACTGTTTATCCAAAGAACACTTACCTCATTGTCTGACTCCACAAGAACTTGATCATATTCACTAAGTGCTACTAGAAACATGATCGAGGTGACATTCTCAAAGCAGTGTATCCATTTTCTTCTCTCTGACCTCTGGCCTCCTACATCGACCATTCTGCAAGGTTAACAATATTCATATTAATAATATAAAGAAAAGCTTAAGAATATCAATATAAATAGTACTTACAAACTAGGGAAAATTCACTACTTGAAAGACAATGGCATCCAACTCAATTAATGCTTACTGACGATCTATTAATTTTCTGTTACCTAACAGAAATAAGACATGGTGGGTAACAAATCACTGTGGTTACTGGGAAATTACTAATATGAGTAAAAACTGTAACTATGAAAATGTTCCTTGTTGGTGTGCCAAGCAGCTCAGTATTTTATTAACACACTGCAAAGGCAAACACAGTGTGCTTTTATGTTAAGCCCAAATACAAATAATAAATTTCACTTTCATTTCCTAGATGCCAGTGAAGACCCTCCTGTGTTACTTGAGGTGCCAGGAATAACCATGGATACATTAAAGGATACAGGATGCCACACATTCCCATACAGGGAGGGTACCAAATATAAGTATGACCCTGCTTTTGTCCCTCTGTAGGGTAAGAATTTGGGGCTTTTTCTTTCTTTCAGTACTGTCATTAATTTAGCACATAGCCCACAGTATCAGGCAACAATAAGACAATCAGCCTTGTATCCAAACCAACTTGCCACCTTGATGGAAACTGAGTGTGGTGTAAGACATCAAAATGTCACGCACTGCCACACAGGGCATCATCTCAACCATTTCCTGCGTCTGTACTTGGTTATCTGCAGACACCAGCACTGACACCGACAATGGATGGAGCCGGTGTGCACGTATCTAGCAGCTCTCCCAAAATGCTGAACCCTCATCTTAACTGATGCACCCAACATTCAGAGGAAATAAGTCTCAGAAAATGAGAAAATTTCAGTACGAAAGTGAAAAAGCAGTACTCTTTAAGAACGTATGGAACACTGTGCCTGCTCTAGTGTTTTCCTGATCCTCCACACTAAAGCTAAAGGAAGAACTCTCAGGAACTTGTGCTCTTTGGCTTCGCACATGTTTCTGTGTGTGCATATATAGTGTGTGCACACAAGTGTGCACGTTTGTGTGGAGGACAGAGGATGACCATCGGGTGTCTTCCTCTAGTCCTCTTCACCTTGCCTTTTGAGATAGGGTGAACCTGGAGCTCACCAACGGGCTTTACTAGATGCCCCTAAAGCCCAAGGGACTTTTCTGTCTTTTCACCTTCTGTTCTCTGGACCTTGGGTTTAGGGCACACACCACCACACCTGGATTTTTATCTGGATCATGGGAAACCGCAAGGAAAGAACTTTATTGACTGAGCCATCTCCCCAGCCCATAAATCAAGGATCATCCTCCCTGCCACTGCTAAAAGGCTGCAAAGGTACAGAAGTGAGATCAATGGGCCAAACAGTGGGCCCACAAGACCTGTGAGGTTAGGGCGTCAAAAGTGAAGCTTTTAGGTGTTCAAGATATTAAGATGCTTGCTCCACCCCAGTGCCACTGTGTGGAAACATGCTACTCATTTACATGGGACTCCAATTTGAGGAAGCCCTGCTTCAAGGACCCAGTGCAATACCTATGACGATGACAGGAAACTAGACAATGAAGTCGTTACTTCCATTGTAGTGGCAAAAAGTATCCTTCTACACCAGTGCATAAAATGTGTCAAGAATAAAATAAAATACTAAACTGCAAATAAAGCACTGTGAAAATCTCTAAAAACTGTGTGTTGTCTGAAAATTTTCTGTAGTATGGGTATAAAAGTAAGTAAATATGAACATCCAGATGTTGTAAACTCAAAATATGTAGTATGGAATGCTGGCCCCAGGAATCATGATGGTTACCTTAATGCACCTATTACAGATTAAGAAGCCAGAGGCTCACAGCATTTTCAAAGTCCTACCTACTTCACTGTCATGTGCTTTTGAGCAGTATATAGTCACAAGATTACACCACAGGTGCAAAGAATGACTAGAGTAAAAAAGAAACAAACCAACAACAAAACAGTGGTGCTTTGGCAAGAAACAGCAGAGCACATGTCAAGGAGAGCCCCATGGTAGAGGCATGAGGCAGGGCATAGGAAGGCTGCTTCACCACCTCATGCACAGGCCCAGCCTGAGTGAGCAGCTCAAGACTCAAATCTGAGACATCCATGCGTGGCTCCTCTGCTCAAAGCTCAAAGTGGTTTCCACTCCAACTAAAACTGCGATTAAGTGACCATGAAATAGTACAGTAAAAATGCACTAGTACTGTTTTTTTCCTCTTAAAAAGTGTTTCAGTTGATGTATTATTATAAACAGCAACAGTGGACAAATAATAAATTTCCACCCTACTCTGTCATATCAACTTATACTGCTAATTACCCTACTTTTAAAATAACAAATTTTGAAAAACTTAAGTATTTTATTGTGTAAAATAAAACAACATGCCCTTAGAAATTCTGCAGTGGTGCCATGGAGAAGTATCAATATGGAAGTTTGCAATGGCACGCATGGTGGTTCCTGTCTAGAACCCCAGCAGCTGGGAAACTGAGATAGGAGGACTTCAAGGTCGGTCTGGAATACAGAGTCAGACCCTTTCTCAAAAAACAAATCAAGTTTCTAAAATATATATAATTGCTGTTACTGATAGGATTATATGACCATTTGTATTTTATAAAAATTCTAAAAATACAGAGTCCTCGGATAAAATTTTACACACACATGGACACACCCCACACACTCACACCGGACCACTGTTTGAGTAACTGTGTTTCACCACCAGCAACTAAGGTTTCATTAACTGTCTAGGGATTTAGACTGAAATGGAAATTCCAGAATATCTTTCTTTTGCTTCTTTTTCATTGATACATTATTTTAGTTGTGTATCCAATGAAAATAATCCATACACGACTGCTTGCTTTAAAACCTGTATGAAGGTGTTAATGGACTCAAGTTACTACCTGAAGATGACACTTTGTAGGTCAAAAGGGTATTCGATGATCCCTGTGGTGGGGACTCGGACTCTAAGCACATCTTGTTGTGTAGGCAGATAGGAAGGGTCGGCTACACGGTCCAAGTCATTCAGATAGCTACAAGAGGGAAGACATGAGAATGTCAGTTACCATCACTCCAAACCCATGGAAGGGAAAGGGCAAAATGAGTCACGGGGAAAAAAATATCAGAGAGTGACAGGTGAAGAAACAGACAAGGCCAAGCTTCCACTGCTCAGAGGAAAGCTCTCCACCCATTGTTGCCTACTCACCGTACCCATTTCCTCATCAGCTGGAACTCACAAAAAAGTAAGGGAGAGCTAGTAAGAAATTCAAATTAGTCTCCTACCCTCCATCTGCTTAGCAGGCTTGGCTGGTGAATCAAGAGTTAAGGAAAGTTTTAAATCATTTATACAAAGTAAATTTGCATGAGTAACCATCTAATAAAGTCAGGTAAGGTCATGATTTATCCTCTCCTTGGTTTGCAGAACATCAGGCTTTTCCTGGAATGAAGTTTCCTCATTCTCCTGAGGGAAGACAGCATTATATCACATCTTTAATTATGTCCAACACCCAGGTCATTTGTTATTTATGCAAAGCCATGAGATTTTAAGTTATAATAATGATAATATCTAAGGACAGATGCTCTTCCTTAGAGCCACTTACCCTAACTTGCAATGTATCTGGCCATGATACCTACACATTTCCATGGTGCGGGGAGGGAGGGACAAACATTTTATTTTTTGTTGAAATAATTTTGGACTCAAAAGAAACTTCAAATTATCACAAAGAATTTCTTGTATAAACCCTTCAATTGCCTTTCCCTTAATGATAGCATCTTATGTATCTGTATATTAACAAACACAGGAATCAGACCTTATCAAAATGAGAATACTCATAGTACTATTCATAATCTAGACCTTGGTTACCCAAGTTCGCACATATATCATGCATTTGAGTGTTTGTGGTACACAGTCTTTGAGATTTTTGCCTCATAGAAATATCTCTGTAATCACCACCGCAATCAGGGCACAGAACTTTGCACTTGGCATAGAGAAACTGGCTTGTGTTACTACTGCTAACCCTAACCCTGGCAATGACTCACTCACCATCAGTATGGTTCTGTCATTCAAAACCTATGACATTCACTTTCTACCCTCTTGAAGTGTAGGACATAAGCTGTAATGTTGTGAATGACATAATTTGACTGAACTGATGACAGCTAGGTGGGAATCACTCTTCTGATTATAGTTTCATTATGGTTTCAAAGAGGAACTATACTTTCCTCTACCTTGGAAATGATGAAACACAAAAATGGCTTCAAAACACATGGCTACAAACTGTACTAACAAAAAGACTAACCGTGAGTACAAGGCAGAAAAAAGATAGAACCATTAATATAACCGGAAGGAACCAGCTCTTCAGCTGGTAATGACCACAAACAAGATACAGTACATTTGAATGTTTGGTGTTCACTGTAGTTACAGCTCAGCAATTACCAAAACAACAACAACAAAAAAAACAAAACAAAAACAAAAACAAAAACAAAAAACAAAAAACAAAAACAAAACCCTCAGCTGACAGATTCAGTCTGGGAGAGGAGTGTTTGTCAACACATCCTGATTTCTGCTTTCAGGCCTAGAAAATGGTATTGGGCCTCTTTTTGGGTGGATGGACTTCCTATACAGACTCTGAGTTTGTGCATTAAAGCTTTTAGCATTTAATACTCCTACTACTGGAGTTTCTTTATGCACGAAACTCAAATGTGAAACTGAATGCTACAAGGAAATACTATGTTAAAGGCTGTAAAATTCATGTATTCACAGTGGCAGTTAAGTCCAACTTTAATAAAAAAATAAAATCACTGTCTCTTTGGAAGAGCAGCCTAGAGTTCCTGCAGCAGAGCAGCTAGTTCACGCCCCAGGGCCTTATTCCAGACACATCAACACACTTACAGCCAACAGTTAGCTCTCTGCTGACTAGCAAGAGCTCAATTCAGACCTTCAATTAATATAAAACTTCCTGGAGGACAGAAAGGGTGCTGGAAGAACACAAATGTAAAGCTACAGTTTAGTGCATCTCAGCATAACCCTGGAGCCACCTGATGGGATTAACAAGCCCACGCATGTTCTGGGAACTGACTAGAGGAAGTGGCTCATATCAGATGAAAACGCAACAAGTTACTCCGTACAAATACAACTTTCTAACTTATCAGATCTTTGTTCTGAAAATTTTAAGAATACATTCCAAAATCTATGATTGCCATTTACATATAAGAACTCAGAAACTTTAGAGAAATCAAAGAACTCTGTATTTATAGTGGCAAGATGAAAATGAAAGTAAAATTCCTCCCACTCTAGTTCTCTCTCTCTCACTTTAATTCTTGTGTACACGGTGCTACGACAGTCTAGAGGTGAAGGGAAATCTTGGTTTTGTTTCCTAAAGATGAACCAAGAGTACCCAATGCTGTTAGCACCATTTTCAAGAACAGATACAGGTTTGCCAGGGATGATATTGAGAATCGGTACATGAATTAATCTGTCACACTCTGCTGTAAGAATGCTGACAGCATCTCTCCAATGAGGAAAAGTGCTCTTAGGTCCCTGAAACTACATGTGTAAAATGGAGTCAGGGTACATACCTGCAACACCCAACAGCCACCCTACAAAACTGTCAGTGGCATATCTCTGTGTACACAGGGTACCACTGAGCTGTCTCCTAAATGAAGAACTGGGTTCAATTCTCAGCACCCACACAGCAGCTCACAACTATCTCTAACTCTAATTCCAGGGTCCTGATGCCCCCTTCTGGCCTTTGTCAGAACTAGGCATGTACACGTGCACAGACATACATGCAGATAAAACACACCTACACATAAAATAAGTAGGTTTTCAAAAAATGTTCCACACATTTTTTATTAAGTTAAAAGTAAGGACAGTCTTGCTGGACAGTCTTGCTTTGCCTCCATCGCATGGTTTAGGGAAAAGCTCACTTCCTTTAGGGCAGAAAAGGTAATCAGTGTAGTTTAGCAAAAGGAAAAGGCTGCACAGTATCCATCTCTGCTGGTTGTAGAATACAGCACCTACACTCAAAGCAAACCAAACCTGATGCATCCCCAAATAAACAAACAAAAAAACAAAACAAACTCACCAGGCAATCAAAACATGCGCAATCTGTCTACATAAATTTTCTACTGAGTGGCCCTAAAGGTATAATACTGAAGACACAATTTGTGAAGCAGCAGAAGAAAGACAATCAAAACTGTCTCTCTCAGAGCCCAGAAAAGCCACCGTGGCCAGCCTGTGCTGCAGTGCTCAGCTCACCTCTCCTACCACTGCTTGGCAAGCAGGACTCAGAGGAACAACTCACAACATTTTCCCCATTTCATATTGGCTTCAGGGGAAAAAAGTTACTTTGTATCCCTAGGAGGGGGGTTCTGCGGTAGTTAAGTATGTCCTCTTCATTTATGCCTGCCACATTTTGAGAGGATGTAATGAAGTCATCTCTAATCTCTTTATTTTCCATTGAAATATTTCATATTCTCAGCAAAACTGATGGAAAAATGTGGTGGGTTCCTGTTGTATTATTCCATTCATTTAACCTTTTAAAAAGAAACACCAGGGCCTGAACAAATTTATATTACAGAGTAAATTCAGAGAGTTAATTATAGCTATAATTTGCTTTGTAAGACCGATTCTGAGTGGCTGCTGAGGTCATTCTCAGTGTTGCTATGGTGATGGCACAGGTACATTGCCAAGGCAATGCATGTGTAAAAGGTAGCTGGCAGAAGCTCTTTCCTTGATGTCAGGGACAGGAAGAAGTCATGGTATACATGGCGTTCAATTAACTGGGAGATAAGCCACACCAAAGAGGGTTTTAGAAAAAGGTGGCTTGGCTGGTTAAACTCTCTTCACTCCCATTCTTCACAGACCTCCAATGACTTCCTGTTACACAGAGCTACTGAATAGTTTGATACTTGTTAATTTAAAACATTTAACCTTCTTCCACGTGCTTTCAAATTCAGTGGTCAGGGTCCACGACCAGCTGTGCCGTGCTGTTTTACCAACACTTGGCTGAGAGCCTGAGTCATGTCGATGCTCAATGTGTCACTCAAACTAAAATTATTTTATGGGGAATGCTACGATGGTTAGGCAAGTTACACTCCTTAGGAACAGGCACAGGGGCCAGGGGGTTGTAAGCTACCCATCTTCACATAATTCTATTTCTGGGATAGAGCCGGCCTGCGTTATGTAAAAACTAAATTTCTGAATTAAAATGCCTCTGACAAGTTTAACTACAACAGAGGAAGGAAGGGCACCACTGATTTAACTTCATTTAGGAGATATGCTTCCTGCACTTAAGTCCTGGCCACTGGATGACATAATTGGCTTAAGTATACTCATCAGCGTGCAGCTTCCAGACTTTGGAATTCTACCTAATCCAATGAAAATGACGGAGGTTAAATCTATCAACGGATATTTCTGATATAAGCTCTTTAGTGGAACAAATTTATATAGGCTTTTGTTGGTTTTCAGTAAAAAGGGGAGCAACAAAGAGATAGGTTTAGTAACCCAACAGTTCCTTTACCACAGCAAAACAAAGTTACCTGGAGTCTAGCATCACACTGGGCTTTTTAGCATTACGGGAGAAGCTACGAATATGAAAATTCTTGGATAAAACTCATGGGCTCTGCATACAAGGAGTTTGACCAAGGTTTTTATTTGGATCCAGTCATCCTCTGGGAACTCAGCACAAAATTTCAAGTGATAGATAATCCACAAACATCTCCCTGTGGTATGTTTGAGTACATGAGAGAATGAGGGCAACCATGCTTAGCTTCTTTAGTGACCACTGCAGTCTTTTCTCAATTAACTTCAGGATATCTCTGGCTGCAAAAAATACTAAGTTTGGAAAAAAGCAACATATCAATGCTTTGAATTATTAAAAGTAAAGAGTAAAGCTTAAATGTCACTAAAATAATACCAAATCAAGTTAAATTTGACATTTTTTTTCTGTTTGGGATATGATTCTAACTGATCATTAATTTTAATGATAGTCTGTCCATAACAAATTTGAGCTTGTGACCAGAAGGGTAACTT